AGTATTCAGAAAGAGACAGAGAGAGAGAAGAGGGGAGGAGTAGATCTTGCGAGAACTTCCGGGCGGGTGAGAATAGCCACTTTCCAGTGTTACCCACCAAAGTCAATTTTCGTTCCTTGACAATACTCGGAAAAGGAGAAGCAGAAAACTCAATGCCAATGACAATGCTATGGCTAGGGAACGATAAAAGATCAAAAGAAAACTTTATCTTATCCGGTCTGTATACACAAGAGAATACCAGAATTAATAACACAAAGTAAAAGGAACCAGCTGTGTAACATCATGTCATCATGTATATGATGGGTTCCAGGACAAAGATATTTATAAACACGATCTCAATCCGATCAGAGCTGTGTAGATCTTGATCTAGAATCTAGAAATCTAGATCTAGACAGATCTAACAAGTCTCTTTTATCAGATGTCACCAGACTCCAGTTCACCCCAACGGTAGCCTACTGAAACTGAATGACTGAATGAATAGAAAACTGCTTGTTTTTCCTTCAATTTCCCTGTAATTTCATTTTCAACTTCTTGAACTGCTTTAGTTCTAATCGAAATAAACTTGGGGGGGAAATCTATTTTACACCAAATTGTTATTGTCCAAAGCATCTCTATCAACTTCACAAAGAATAATAATGAGCTATTGAAAGCGGGGCCTACTGGTAAAGATTGTTTTCGCAAAAGACGGCACCTTTACAACTCCGATTTGTTTCCAGGCTTTCATGGCACACTCTCACTTATCCACAGTTAATTACTTTCAACTTCATCCTTTCTTCCGTTTACCAACGTCTGTGGTTTAGCGGAGGCACTGAATTAGTTGCCGCACGCAGTAGACACACGTTCGATTCCCGAAAGAGGAGAAATTCTATAAAGTATCAAGTATCTCCGTCTTTCTGCTTGGATATTGTATCCTTCTCAGCTTAGGTTGGCTCTGACAGGCAGGTTTGAAGCCAGCGTCCTAAATAACCTAACGTCTCTCGATGGGAGCATAAAAACACGTACAGCGCCTAAGTCCAATTTGTTTTTCTTCTGCTTCTTCTAAACACCCATTCAAATCCCGTAAGGTGGCAGCCCACACTGCAAATAAATGCATGTACATTGTACATGTATAATAAAGCAGGGTGTGTAAGTGAGTGTGAGAGAGACCGAGAGAGAGAGAGAGAGAGAGAGAGAGAGAGAGAGAGAGAGAAAGTGTGTGTCTTTGTGTGTGTGTGTTTGTGTGTGTGTATGTGTGTGCGTGTGCATGTGTGTGTGTGTGTGAGTGTGTGTGTGTGTGTGTGTG